CTCACACACACACATAAAGACACACATACATAGAGAGACACACACACACACACATATAGATACATACAGACAGACACATACACACACAAGACACACAAACATACAAACAGACAGACACACATACATACAGACTGACACACACATACATGCAAACAGACAGGCACTAATACATACAGACACACATACATACAGACAGACACACATACACACAGACAGAAACACACAACACACATACAAACAAAGACACATACATACATGCAAACAGACAGGCAGATAAACACACATACATACAGTCACATACAGACAGACAGACAGACACATACATACAGGGAGTGCAGAATTATTAGGCAAGTTGTATTTTTGAGGATTAATTTTATTATTGAACAACAACCATGTTCTCAATGAACCCAAAAAACTCATTAATATCAAAGCTGAATATTTTTGGAAGTAGTTTTTAGTTTGTTTTTAGTTTTAGCTATGTTAGGGGGATATCTGTGTGTGCAGGTGACTATTACTGTGCATAATTATTAGGCAACTTAACAAAAAACAAATATATACCCATTTCAATTATTTATTATTACCAGTGAAACCAATATAACATCTCAACATTCACAAATATACATTTCTGACATTCAAAAACAAAACAAAAACAAATCAGTGACCAATATAGCCACCTTTTTTGCAAGGACACTCAAAAGCCTGCCATCCATGGATTCTGTCAGTGTTTTGATCTGTTCACCATCAACATTGCGTGCAGCAGCAACCACAGCCTCCCAGACACTGTTCAGAGAGGTGTACTGTTTTCCCTCCTTGTAAATCTCACATTTGATGATGGACCACAGGTTCTCAATGGGGTTCAGATCAGGTGAACAAGGAGGCCATGTCATTAGATTTTCTTCTTTTATACCCTTTCTTGCCAGCCACGCTGTGGAGTACTTGGACGCGTGTGATGGAGCATTGTCCTGCATGAAAATCATGTTTTTCTTGAAGGATGCAGACTTCTTCCTGTACCACTGCTTGAAGAAGGTGTCTTCCAGGAACTGGCAGTAGGACTGGGAGTTGAGCTTGACTCCATCCTCAACCCGAAAAGGCCCCACAAGCTCATCTTTGATGATACCAGCCCAAACCAGTACTCCACCTCCACCTTGCTGGCGTCTGAGTCGGACTGGAGCTCTCTGCCCTTTACCAATCCAGCCACGGGCCCATCCATCTGGCCCATCAAGACTCACTCTCATTTCATCAGTCCATAAAACCTTAGAAAAATCAGTCTTGAGATATTTCTTGGCCCAGTCTTGACGTTTCAGCTTGTGTGTCTTGTTCAGTGGTGGTCGTCTTTCAGCCTTTCTTACCTTGGCCATGTCTCTGAGTATTGCACACCTTGTGCTTTTGGGCACTCCAGTGATGTTGCAGCTCTGAAATATGGCCAAACTGGTGGCAAGTGGCATCGTGGCAGCTGCACGCTTGACTTTTCTCAGTTCATGGGCAGTTATTTTGCGCCTTGGTTTTTCCACACGCTTCTTGCGACCCTGTTGACTATTTTGAATGAAACGCTTGATTGTTCGATGATCACGCTTCAGAAGCTTTGCAATTTTAAGAGTGCTGCATCCCTCTGCAAGATATCTCACTATTTTTGACTTTTCTGAGCCTGTCAAGTCCTTCTTTTGACCCATTTTGCCAAAGGAAAGGAAGTTGCCTAATAATTATGCACACCTGATATAGGGTGTTGATGTCATTAGACCACACCCCTTCTCATTACAGAGATGCACATCACCTAATATGCTTAATTGGTAGTAGGCTTTCGAGCCTATACAGCTTGGAGTAAGACAACATGCATAAAGAGGATGATGTGGTCAAAATACTCATTTGCCTAATAATTCTGCACTCCCTGTACATACATACACACACATACATACGAAGACATACATACATCCAGACAGGCACACATACAGACAGACACATACAGGCAGACACACACACATACAAACAAACACAAAATGTTTAAGTCACCCTCCTGTTTCCTACCTTTTAGGTGCAGGAGGGTGACTTTCCCTGGGGTCCAGTGGTGGCTCAGGTTGATGGGAGTCAGAGTTCCCACTCTGACTCCCTCCTCTTCTTCCTCCCGCGTGGGATCTGTCTGATAGCTTGGGAGGAGTGACCGGGGCAGTCACTTCCTCACAGCAGTGATGTCATTACAATGGGTCTGGTCGCGCTGTTCAAGCACCCAGCACTGACAATCCATCTCCATCGGGTGGCCTTATCAGCATGGACCACCCGATGGTCCCCTTGGACGGCGGCCACGGCGGTTTGCTGCACGGGCCGCACTGCAAAAGATGGTGGCAGGTACCCGGTCACAGGGCGGCCGGGCCCCCTGGAGTGATGGGCCCGGTCGCAGCTGCGACCCCTGCGACTGCAGTATGTACGTCACTGCTGACAATTTCTGCATTCGTGCATTGGGGTAGATGAAGCTAGTTCATTTACTCTTCCTTGGTGAGCCTGCCATTTGCCATTTACCAGAGAGTCTCCATTGCAGTTTCGGAGCTTGCACTGGCTGATCAGGCGAGTGGAATAGTCCCCTGTCCCTGAGAAGGTGTAGGCCTTCATCCGTCTCTTCTATTACGTAATTTTTGTTACTTCCATATGACGATCTTTGTGGGGTATCCCCAGCGATTTTTGTATGCCATGGTTGCGAAGGGTTTTCTTGATCGAGATAATTTCTCTCCTGCGGCTCGTTGTGAGAGCTGACAGATCCGCAAATAATTGCACCTCCTGGTACGGTTCTGATAGTTTCATAAGTTTACGCGTTGCAGACAGTAAAGTTCCTTTGATCTGTAAAAGTGAAATCTGACCACCACATTGCACTGTGTTTCCGAGGTAAAGCATTGCAGCCTAGGAATGCGGTGTGCTCTGTCCATGAGCCAGTCCGCAGCTCCCAGTTCCAGCAGCATAGCCCGACACAGGCCTTTGATATAGTTGGGTAATGCGTCATGGGTGATGTTGTCAGGGATGACTCTGAACCTGATGTTATTTCCCTGCGATCAGTCTTCCATGTCTGCCAGATTCCGCTTTAAGTGTGTTTTGTTCATCAGTGAGGGCTTGAATTTTAGTATCCATATCATTATGCGCAGAACAAAGCTTTTCAGTGCATACTTCCAGGCAGTACATCTGGTCACCAATCTTGGACAGTTCCCGCTTGAATTCCACCGTCATTTGTTTGATGTCAGCGTGTAAAGCCATTTTTCACTCACTGGGTTGTCGGAATAGCGGCATGGTAGGGGCCAAGCTGTCATCGCCATCTCGGTTGGATCAGAGCTGATCTTTTTTGGCGGAACGGATTGGATCTGTGAGTTTTAGCTGTTTGGATGATGCCATGAGAGTGTCTACAGGTTTGGGTTGGTTTTTGTAGCTTTGTAAGGCTTTCTGTAGCGTTTGGGTCATTCAGGCCTGGGAGCACTTACACCATGCCACCTTCCCGTTCGGCTGCTAGCCACTCCCCCCCCCCAAATTGCACCTTTTAATGATGTCAGAAGTCACATGATAATGTTTGATTAATAGGCCTTAGATTTATACTGGCAACAGTATAAAATGTAGAATAAACTTATTATATTTTTTAATAATGGAATAAATTCACTATAAAACAATTATGAAGTTGCTACCTCTTTGATTGTTTTTGTGAGAGCAATCTAATGTGACCATTCAGGTTAAGTAGCTTGTAATTTTTCACAAAGGGTTGTTGGTTGAGCTTTAATTAAATTACTATGTTAAACAGAGGCAGAAAGAAATTCCAATTGTGGAGTATATCAGGATACATGGACAGGATAAACATGGAAAACCGCTTACATTTAATAGAGCTTCAGGCCAGCTTTGGAATTCAGGTTTGGACAGAACAATACTCGCCTTGTGTTATGAGTGATTGTCTTAATGGATAATGGACCACAGCAGAATATTGGTGTGCAATATAAAACAAAATTGGAGTAATATATAGTGTAGTATGGAACAGCAATATAAGGATATCATTTTATATATATATATATATATATATATATATATATATATATATATATTATATGCACTCCCACAATGAAGATCCTTTTATTGCTCCAGCAAAAGCAGAATAAAGTGGTATAATCCCCACTATCTAGGATAGTGTTCAGCCAGATGTTCTTTTGTGGTACAACACAAAAATAGTGCTTTCTGTAGATGTAAACAATTTAGTATAAGAGAAGAAGGAAACCTGATTCCATATTCCTTAGCAATATGGTATTGCTCAGTCCATAAGGATTGGGTGGATATAATCCCTACCATGGATATTGAAAATGAATTAAGGTCACAAACAGATGGGGATCCAAAAGCACAATAAAAATACTATTTTATTTAACACTATGTAAAACAATAAAATATAATGTATAATAGAAATGTTAAAACAAACACTGTGTCACCCTTTTCCCCCCCAATTCTTTATTTTTATTATGCACGAGAATACAAATAGCAGGTCATCTTGTTGTGCCACAACAGCAGTAACAGACTTAGTGAAAACTATACATATCATGACATATGAGAGAAAACCAGCAAGTAGTACGTAGTAAGGTATTCAGGTTAGAAATGCAGGAGTAGACCTCTAAGAGTTGAACAGGCTTGGCAAATGTAGAGAAAACAAAGATTAAATGATTAGGCTAGATACAGTGGAATTTAACATTAAGTGACAATGCCACCCTGGCGTTGTCTAGGGACATAACAAGCAGTATAAGTAAGCATCATAGATTTAAAGCTAGCAAATGACATCCGTTGGCTATGTGCAGACATCTAAGAGGAGTCTCAACCTTGTGGTCAGCCAATTCCCATTATGGGTATGGTGCAGTGCCACACGATAGTGCCATTCCACTTGCCCAGTGCCAATATCAGCTGTGAGTTGCCTGTGCATTGCTGCTAACCTATGCGGCCTGCTTCCTTCTTCATGCTCCACTTCCTTGCATAGGTGTTGCTGGCGCTGATCTGCTCTTTACCTTCTTTGGGGTAGTTCGGGAAGGCCTTTGCCTTTTCGGGCAGGCTGTAAGGCGTTGGGCACTGTGGGTGGTCTCTTAGATGGTTCAGGAGCCTTGGGCATTGATTGTGTTTTCCTGTTGCTTAGCTTCCTCCAGAATGCAGTGAACAGTGTATCTTGGAGTTGTAGGATGTTGGGCGCCTCTCCCATTGCATCCGTGGTACATGCGGCTTCCACTATCATGAAATAGTCACACTGGAACCCTCTGTAGCTGCGGAACAGCCACAGAGCTCTGCTGTTGTATGGCATCTATTGGGGTGAGGCCTGGGATAACTCCTGTCAGTCCAGAGTGGGGGCGGAACAGGGCAGAAAATGGGGGTCAGCGTGACTCGTGGTTCGGGAGAGCGGCGCCTCTCCCGTCTGGCTCCAGCACTAGGCCGCACAATGCTCCCTGGCAATCATAAGCAGGGGCTGAAATGTCTGGGCACTACAAGTATCCTCTCCTCAGGAGGTAACAGGATTGAACTTGGTCAGAATAATTGCCCTGAGAGGTGGTAGAATCAAAGTATTCAGTGGCTAGACGAGGAGCTCTAACAGAACTCGTCCTGCCGCCATGAAGGTCAGGCCCCGCCCCCTGTGTCACCTTTTCAAGAAGGATTTTTCAATCTGTATACAGGTTGTTGCTGTTACTCAGTAATAGGACTGTTTAAGCTCTTTTGCATTAAGTAGCATGAAATGTATGTACTGTTTTTATTGTCTACTGCATAGCTTACATTATATGAAAGCTTTTCATTAAAGTTTATTTTAGTTAGTGCTGTGACTATACAGGTTATATATGCCTGTAGCAGTGCTACTGCTACACACTTTTTACTCTATAAGGAAAAACTAAATGTAATGTGTGAAAGGTTCCATTATGAACCACTGTAACTTGACTTTATAGATTCGCAAAACAATCTGTTCATAAAGAAAGTTTTAAATAAGTTAACGGTAGGATAGGGGCCAAGAACATTTTCAGATTCTATGTAAGTATTGAACTATATATGTTATAAATATATATAAATATGTTATTGGTACACAATGACCTATTAAGATAAAATGTACTGAATGAACCTATAAGATGGATTTAAAAATACACTCTATAAAAGGGAAACAATGTTAATGCTACCCTGAACATTTTGAAATAACTGACTGGTTACGCCATAATAAGGTCACTGAGTTCCAATAGTCATTGCTACACAGCGAGTATCTGTAAAATGTCCTTCTTGTATAACTATTGTTTTTATATGTATTTTTGCATTTAATCGTGTATTTCTAAAGTAAGTATTCCATCATTTACTAGTTTAGAAGTTAATCGAAGATGATACAGTTTTGCTTTGCAGTCTTTTATCTGATACACCCTGCACTCAGCATTTAATATCTTAAGTTTCCAGACAGCATTGTGGTTGGCAAAGACTTTTACAAATCCACACTCCAGGATATGACTCTGAAATAAGAGAAACATGCTTTATCCAAACATAGAGACAACCAGGTCATAGCGTATCTTGTGTCATAAGCGCCCGTAACAGAAAATCTGCAGCAGATAAGGAGAACAATCTGTAGGCTGGAACAGAAAAGAAATCCAGAACAGACGTTCTCGTAAACTTTAATCATATATCCAAATGATTTGTATCTCATTTTATTTGATGATCAGAGTATAGGTTAAATTTCCTTCTATTTATCAAATCAGTGGCATTTGTTGAAGAGTCAGCAGGAGGAGCGGTCTATTTAAACTGAAGTCAATTGATTGCGCAGTTGTAGTTAAGCTGCTTAATAAGAGAAAATGTATTGCCATATTTTATTTGTACCTGCTAGATTTGGTCCCAGTATCTATTTTAACTCATATGTAGCCAGTATTTATAGACCCTAGTCTGGTTCCATGACAACAGATTAAATTAAATTTTTATTTATTATACGCTAAATCATAATTTTGTTGCCACATTCGAATCATTAATTTTGTGTACTCATTTTAAATGTATCTACAATATAGATAGAAGACATGACTATGAAGGAAAAGCTCTTTAAAGGGTTATTCCAACCACCATGACCACTTCAGGGATTTATTATAGGTTTTAATGCAAACGAGGGGAGTGGACATTAATAATGCACTGTAAAGCAATTAACTCAGGAAAGCCCAGCCCTCCAAATTGTTGGAGTAACCCTTTAAGTATATTAATGCCTTTATTTATAAAATATAATTTGTTTTGCACACTACATGTCTGCAGAGCTATACACAGTTTCTTTCATATATGTCTGACTATAGCTGTGTATGATCTCCTACCTGTCTTCATCAAGTTACAAAGGTTTAAGCGTTTATTAATTACAGTAACGCAGACAATAAGGGTTATATGTATACCCTGAATTTCCATTGTTAACAGGTATGGAGATTATTGAGTGATTTTAAAGCAATAAAGTGTATCTGACACAAATACTTGTCCTGTATCTATATGGTATTTAAATCTACACTCTATGAATGATTTTTTATCTTTAATACATAATAAAGGATATGTTTTAATAAATGTGTATAATATATTTATATCAAGGCTAGACTTTCTACGTTCTTGTAAATTTAATTAATTGTTCTAACTGGGTTCATGCCCTCAGTGTCTTTACAGCCGTAATTGATTACACTATATTTGTCCTCCTAATTATATCATCTAATTAGTCTATATTATTATTAGCATATATGCGAGCCCAACATATTCTTTAGTGCTTTGCAATTATAAAATGGGAATGTTTATAAGTGAAGAAGAGCTTGCTCAAATGTGTTTACAACCTATGAGAATTTTGTATATATATATATATATATATATATATATATATATATATCATTAGGTGCCTTGCCCAAGGACACTTATTGGTGATGAAGTCTGACTGGGGCTATCCAATCTGTTTCTGGTGAGTTATTGCTATATTTCATTAATGAGGGAACATTGTGAAAAATGAAAACAAATCACCAATTGTTACCATATTACATTTTATGGGGATCACTGCTTGTATAGCTACAAATGGCATATAAGTCACAGTTGCCAAATGCTGTATGCTACTTATGCAAGATGGATTGAGTTGGGATTTAAAGTTTGGACAGGCTGACTTTACATGGGCGATCATCAGTCAAGTCAAAAGCTTAAAGGACCACTCTAGGCGCCCAGACCACTTCAGCTTAATGAAGTGGTCTGGGTGCCAGGTCCCTCTAGGATTAACCCTTTTTTTTATAAACATAGCAGTTTCAGAGAAGAGTTAATCCAAATCCTCTAGTGGCTGTCTCATTGACAGCCGCTAGAGGCGCTTGAGTGATTCTCACTGTGAAAATCACAGTGAGAACATGCAAGCGTCCATAGGAAAGCATTGTAAATGCTTTCCTATGAGACCGGCTGAATGCGCGCGCAGCTCTTGCCGCGCATGCGCATTCAGTCGAAAGGGAGGATTGAAGGCGGAGAGGAGGAGGAGAGCTCCCCGCCCGCCGCTGGAAAAAAGGTAAGTTTTAACCCTTTCCTCTCCCCAGAGCCGGGCGGGAGGGGGTCCCTGAGGGTGGGGGCACCCTCAGGGCACTAAAGTGCCAGGAAAATGAGTATGTTTTCCTGGCACTATAGTGGTCCTTTAAGGTAGGGCTGCTAAAACTAAATTCCAGTAGGCTTCATGTAAAAATTAATTTCTGTTTCAAGGTTGTTGTACAATTTGATATGTTCTACATATTAATGTCATTCTCAATTGTTAAAACATAAACACACATACAAAACAGATGTTAACATCATAAAAGGTCTGTACCTGCTAGAGTTCTTGAGAAAATTCTATACGCATGCAACAAGGAAGTTCAATATAGTTTTTTTTATTCACTTCCACTGCTTATTCATACATACCACATTTCACATGGACAAGATAGGACACTTTAGTTTTATGGATGTGGCCAGTGGCGGGGCTGTTTTGAGAAATTTTAAGTGACTTACTAATAACAATTTATGCAGCTACAATGTATTTTAGAATAAGAACAATGAATATTATGTATAGTGATTGCTAAACACATTTATTGGAGTTAAAAAAACATTATTGTATTATTGCAGTGGAGTTCTGTTAAATACTCAGAGACACCAACAATATGGAGTTCCTAGAAAAGAGGGACATTTGGAGAGAAAAGAGGGACAGGGGGATTTAGGCCTCAAATAGGAACTATCCCTGATAAAAAGGAACACTTGGAAGCCAGGAGGTATATTCACTCCGGTAATTGCTTAAATAGAGTAAAGGATCACAGTACTGTTACTCTTCTATAATGCATACATATAGTGCACACACTTTTACTTACCAGCATAATGCATACTTACAGTGCAAACTGCCAGCTACGCTCATATTTGCAAATGCACATTCTCGCCTACTAGCATAATATATACTCATAATGCACAGTCACCTACCAGCACTAGTGATGTCGCGAACCCGAAATTTTCGGTTCGCGAACGGCGAACGCGAACTTCCGCAAATGTTCGCGAACCGGCGAACCGCCCGAAACGCCATTGACTTCAATGGGGAGGCGAATTTTAAAACACACAGGGACTCTGATACACACTGACACAGAGCAGAATAGGGACTGTTCCCCCTACATCGGGTCACTTGGCAGATATGGATTGACACCTGTCCTAAGGTTCCCTGGTACACACTGACACAGAGCAGAATAGGGACTGGTCTCCCTACATCGGGTCACTTGGCAGATATGGATTGACACCTTGTTACAAACTGCTATTTGTAACGGGCCCTTTAAATGGCAAATTGCCCTGCTTCCCTGGGTTGTGGAGAAGCCTACTTGCCAGCCTCCTCCCGCATGACTATGGCCCCTGGGAGATTGTGAAAATGTATGCACTTTTATTTGGTGTGTATGGCCCTTTAAGACTGTCGGTGGGCATATTGGGGCTTATGGACTCTTTATGTGACTGGTGCTGGCCCTTTAAACACCTTTTTGGGACATCAGGAAGATTGGGACACTGCCCCTTTAAGGCCGTGTCCCCAGACTTGTTGGGGACACGGCCCCTTTAAGACGGTGTCCCCTGTGTCCCCAGACCTGGTGCAAACCCTTTGTGCCTTGCTATTTCCCAATTGGTTCAGTAAATGGGAAATTATTTCAGCTGCAGAGACTAAGTCCCATTCAGCGATGGGACATAGTCTTTTTTTCAGCCGTTTTTTTCAGCCTTATTTCAGCTGCAGAGACTAAGTCCCATTCGGCGATGGGACATAGTCTTTTTTTCAGCC